CTAAACCCTAAACCCTAAACAAGCCTGAGCCTCGTCTTCGAACCCTTGCGGAGCTTGCAGGTCCTGTCTCCCCTTCTTGGGGCTTGGGGGGTTTCGGGGTTTAGGGTTTAGGGCTTTAGGGTTTAGGGGTTTAAGGGTTCAGGGTTTAGGGTTTAGGGTTCAGGTTTTAGGGTTTTAGGGGTTTCGGGTTTAGGTTTTAGGGTTTTAGGGTTTAGGGTTTGGGATGTTGTATATTTCCCCCTCTTTGAAGCTTCATGGTTTTAGGATTCAGGGTTTGGGATGTTCTATACTTCCCCTTCATGGGCTTTAGAGGATGTTATTTACGGATATCTGCAGAAGCTCTAAACCAGCCCAGCTCTCAAGGCATTGGGGTTTTGGGTTCAGCTTGACAATCCTTGCTGCTCGCAGGATAAGCGCGCCGGGGGGTCCGTGACCTGGAGCGTCCCCGCTGGAACGTTTTTGGTGTTGCTGAGCGCCTTGGTTGAAGGGTTTTTGGTTAAGGGTTCCTTGAAGGGTTGCTTCAGTTTGGGTTGTAGGGCTCCCTTTAAGGGTTCCGGTTCCTTCAAGTTATCCACCCTACAGCTGCCCTGGAACCCAACAACCTGATGCCCTGAGGTTACACGCCGTACCCAAATCGGGCATCAAACGTGCCGATCGTCATCACTCAGGGGGGCCAGGCAACCACCATCCGCGTAAACCAAAAGCAAGGCGGGATCCATTCCGTCTTTGGGGTCCCCAGGCTTGGGGTTTAGGCCGGAACCTTAAATCTCTACCCTAAACCCTAAACCCTAAATCTCTACGATCTATGCACCAGCTTGAGCTTGTCTGCTGTCCAGGTCATGAGAAGCTTCTGGGGAAGCACCTTGGCTTAGACGTGGCTTTATGCGGCAGTACAAGTTTCCTCTGAGCGGAGTGGCTCAATGTCTTTCCCAAAGAACGCAAGCATCGAATCAGCATTTACGTGGCCTTGACGGGAGTCCCTGAACCCTACACCCTAAGGGCTCAACTCCAAACCCCAAACCCTAAAACCTAAAACCTAAACCCAAAACACTAAACCCTAAACCCTAAACCCTAAACCCTAAATCTTAACCGTCACTGCACCGTAGCCGTAGGGCCCGAGAGCAGAACAATGACGTACCCGGAGGCCTAGATCATCCCAGCTCCCGAAAAGTTAAACTCTGAGGCTAGGGTTTAGGGTTTCGGGTTTAGGGTTTAGGTCCCAGTGCCTGAATTTCTAAAGTTACCATCCTAAATCCTCAATAGTGGCCGGACTCGATAGAATAGGCGTTCTGGGTATGTACCTTAACCCTACGGACCAACGGTATGATATTTCTACTTATTCAGCTTCTATAATATGGGCAGTTCTCTAAACTAGGATCCCATTTTAAGTCCCCAAAATAGTACGGCACCCTCATAAAACGGACCCTAAATGGGATCCTAATTACCCTAAACCCTAAACCCTAAACCCTAAACCCTAAACCCTAAACCAATTTAGAACAATACCCAAAGGTCTCCTGGAAGCCCAGAAATCCTAAACTCCAAAGCACGAACTTCGACTGGCAGGTACACCTTTGCCGTTTAGGGTTTAGGGTTTAGGGTTTAAGGTTTAGGGTTTAGGGTTTAGGGTTTAGGGTCGACTGGCAGGTACACCTTTGCCAAGGGTGACACCGTAAAGCTTGCCACCTATGGCGTGGACGGCAAGGTTCGCAAGATGAGATGTGTGAACAGCATGGACTGTATTATTTATTGCACTTGCTGTTGTTATTGTCCGCATCACTGCTGTTATTATTGTTTTCATTGCTGTGATTGCTCTGTTTGTGGCTCAGTGTGACTGTCATTTTTTCTTCTTCGTTTTGTTATCACCACGGTGGCGACTGCTACTGTTGCTTCTATGTACGTACGGAGCAGGAAGATGCGGAATCCGAACAGCAGCAATAGCAGCAACAGAGAGAACCGTGTCCGCGAGGTGGTCGCTGATGCCTTGAGACTGTCCTCATGCAACTTGGCACCGGAGTTGGGAACCCAAAACCCTCAACCCTAAGCCCTAGACCTTCAACCCAAAACCCTAAACCATAAACTGTGGTAGCCCTTTTCAACCCTACAGTGAAGCTAAACAGGCCTCATATTTATCGGCCGAGGAGGGCCCATGAAGAGTCAGCGCACAAAAGTCCGGTGAAGCAGTTGCCAGTGATGGCTACTTGGAGGTTCATGGGTAGTTATTAGGGTTTAGGGTTTAGGGTTTAGGGTTATAAGTGGGGTTACAAGTCCCCTAATATGGGTTGTAACTATAGTTACCCTACTTATAACTCCACTTGTAACTACCCATGCACCTCCAAGTAGTGCTGTGCAAGACCACGTAGGGTTGATGGACGGGGTCATGCATTATCCGAGGAGACGGCGGCCTATGGATAAACATGATCCGAAGCAATCTGCCGTAATTTCTCACAGCTTGGGGTGTTTCGGGTTATATCACAGCCCGAAAAGCCTGTAGCAGAAAACGCGTACAAAAGCCTGTATAGGAGACTTATTGCAGCATTCATAACTCTAAGCCCCAAATGCCCGAACTACCCTAAACACCGCACTGCATCCTTACAGAGCCCTGCAGAGCTCCAATGCCCCCGATTCCCTAAACGCTCTACCTGGGGTCCCAAAAACCTACCGTTTTAAGGGTTCTACCCTCTAGCTAAGGGGTCAGAACCTACGATTTTGTAGGGTTTGGGGTTACAGGTAAACCCAAAGCCCTAAGCCCCCAAGCATTGAAAATGACGGCCTTCCCTAAACCCTAAACCCTAAACCCTAAACCCTAAACCCTAAACCCTAAACCCTAAACCCTAAACCCTTCAGTGCAGGTGAGGATGACCTGATCTCGGAGCTCCGGGCCCCATTGGAGGAGCTCTTGTTTTGAGGGTTTAGGGCTTAGGGTTTCGGGCTTAGGGCTTTGGGTTTAGGGTTTAGGGTTTAGGGCTTCGGGTTTATGATTTAGGGCTTTGAGTTTCGGGTTTCGGGTTTAGGGTCTAGGGTTTCGGGTTTAGGGTTTAGGGTTTAGGG